AATAAATTAAATTAATTAATGAATTTTTAATAAATAAAAAGGATAACATCAAAATTGAAACTTACCTAAGTGGCTACCAAAGTCTTCAAATAGTCTACCTTTACAAATTCATTATTCTAAGTATCGTTTGATATCGTTTCAGAGGAAAAAGGTATATAAACTTTTTTAGGTTTTACTACTATGCCTCACGACGAATATAAAAAAAAATAATAATAAATTAATTAATATTTTTTTTTTCTTAGAAAAAAAACTATAAAATCAGAATATTGAATGTAAACTCATTTAAACAAAGAGGCGGCATCTTAGAGAGCTTTGGAGAAACACTTAATTCAAAGTATCTTTTGGAGCGAAATGGTAACTAATTTTTATTTTTTGATTATTACGCCTAGCACGAAGATAATAAAATATGAAATTATTTATTTCTAGAAAAAAACTAAAAAATAGGATATTAAACATAAACTTACGTAGATAAAGAGGCAGAAATAAAGATAAGTAAAAATTCGGTCTTTTTTTTTGCTTTAGATAAAAAATTTTATTAATAAATTTTTATATTTTTTATTTTTATATTTTAACGTATATTTTAAATAAAAATCGATAAAAAATGATCAAAAAAAAATATCATACTTTTAATTCATAAAAAAAAAGGAAAAATACTTTAAAGAGGCATGTAATGATCACGACGACGCAATATCATAATAATGGGGTAATTAATTATCTAACGTAACAAACGAATTCTTTCATATTATTTGAAATCATGCCTACAAAATTTATCAAATAAGCTTATCAGAAATGGTTTACGTAACAAAACGAAGGTTGTTATATTGTTAACGCAAGTATTTTTGTTTATTATTTTTACAAATAAGAATTTAATTTAAATTATTTATTTACAAATAAAAAAATTTTTTTCTATATATATGAGTCTGATTCGGGGTGTGGGTGGATGGGCGTCTCTATTTCCTTCGATTAGCTACTCTAATAGATACATCGAAATCTTAGTTGATTAGTTACACTGAATCAATTACTAATTCTAAAGACTAAAGAACCAGTACTAAAAATCAGAGAGTATTTTTCATAATCAGATCGCATCAAAAAAGAGTATTTATTGGAATTGTTTTGCCTATCAGTGTCAGAGAACTTCACGATTAACTCCTAAGAAAATCATTGATCATCTACTAATCTAAAGTATCGTCATATTCCAAATTAGGAAGAAACCAACCTGAGGAATATATTCTACGTTAAAATTATTTTTTTTTTTTTTTTTGAGAAAATTTGAACATCTGGTACTTGAAGATATTCAAGATGTTTATATACTAAATTTACATAATAAAAGTGATGAATGATAACTACCTATGATGAACAAACTAATTATTTCTCCTATAATATTTAATATCTATCACTAATTGTAACTACCGGTGATGTATATTCCATCTATTACTATATGATGTTTAATATTTACTTTTTCTGCTTTTAATGTTTACTTCTAATTCTTACTTTTACTTTTATTCTAAATTATCTGATTTCTATTACTGAATTCTGTATTACTATTGTTTATTATTTACTTTCAATCTGTTATATTATTTCATAATTCCGTTATATTAATTTTACTACTGTTATATTAATTTTATTTGTTTTTCTTTTAATTCTTTAATGTTTTATCATTTCTTATTTTCTTTCTCAATTTTTCAGACTTCTGTTTTTCTATCATACTTCATATTACTATTAACTTCCATTCTTTTTCTGATTTCTGTTTCATTTATAATGTCATGTATAACCTTTATATTACACAAGCTTCTATGTTCATTATTTCTAACAATTGTGCCTTTTGTGTAATCTTCTTGCATCTTTGTGTAACTTCTTCAATTTGTTATTTTTCAAATATTTTCTAAGTCTTTTTATAAGACCCTCCGTTCAGTTAATTAATTATCCTTTTTCTTTCGATAACTAATTTATCTGAATTATTTTCTTTCAAAATTTATCCATTTTGTATAATCTTCCTTTTCAATCTGTAATTTATCTGAGTATTATTCTTTTTAATAAAATGATTATTCCTTCTTTTATCATATAACTTTTCCTTGTAATTTTTGTTGTATAGTAGTGATCATTTCCTTTTGTATTATTACGTCTTAATTAATGAAATTATTGACTCTACAATGGCATATACATAGTTATAGCAGTTATGGTAAATGATACTTGTTACGGCATATGACAATGCTATATTGCCATATAATTTTATAGGCAAAAGTTATAATGCTATAGTACTGATATGTCTGCATCCTTAACAATTACATGATTTTGTTTTAAATTTCAGTACTGATATGATATCACATGATATAATATTAGCCAATAAAAATGATCAAAATCTGTGTAACTAAAAAAGAAAACTATAATTAACAAAAAATACATCTGTAAATTCTTTAAACTTTCTTGAATATTAGCAATAAAAAAGCAATCAACATTTAATCAAAAATAAATTAGGATTTATAAATTAAATTAAATACATAATATATGAAAAATTCTAAGTTTATTTAATTATGATAGATAATTTAGGCTAACAGTATGATTGTTATAATGTTAACCTGAGTTCTGACTAATCAAATCATGTGAACGTGATTTGATTTGATTTCAAATTTGAGCTAATCATATAAAAATCATGTAACTTTAATAATTTATAACTTTTTATTTAAAACTTATTTTATAAATCTGACTGATAATTAATAGAACTTATCTTAAAAAACAAAGTTATCATTTTATTTCTTTTAAATTTTATTTTTTAAAAATCTTGAAAGATTTTTAAATGTTACATTTTTATTGTTGAGTATAGACTTCCTACACTATATTAAGATAATGATTAAGTTTTTCACATCTATTATTATTTTGAAAATGATTGAAAAGAAAAAATAATAAGTTGTCATTATCATCATCATTAATATATATGAAGTCAAATTAAAAATCCAAAAGTTAAAATGTTTCAATTTAAAGATCAGGAATATTGAAATAAAATATAACATATTATAATTTATGTTGTTTGATTTGATTAATACTATCTTACTTAAATTCTATACAGATGTTTATTAATACTTTTTCTTTCAAAATGGGTATTTATCGTATTTATTGATCCTATGCATCCTTCTATTTTTTTAATATAATGATCAAAACATTTTCCCTAGCTTTCTTTAGCGAAGCTAATTGTGATTACTGCTATTATTATTGTAACCTCTATTGGAGCCACTATACTATTAATATCTGTATAAATTTCATGATTATCATATAAAATTACACTTGCTTTAAATATCTTCTTTTTGTTTTTCCAATCAATTACTTTACTTTTAAAGTGAACTATCATCCTATATAGTAAGCATTTTAAAATCATAGCCATAAAGAATCTTGACCTCACATTTACCAAAATGCATACGTTTCAAAAGGACCTTTATAATATAGGTTTGTTAGGATATAAACATGTAACTTATTAAAAAAATGTTTCAATCAAAATCACACTAAGAAACTTTATTAAAGGATGCCTTTAAGTTGCTCATTTCAAAAGTTTTTATTGACCTATAACTTTTCAACAAATATGGTAGATAATCTATTTATTGGTCAATTATATGTTTTGATTTAAATAACAATAAACATTCCACACAATATCTTATTAGGTATTTTATCTGAAGAAACAGAAATTTAAATTGCTCCTAGAGATGTTCACAATAGAAATTCTTAAAGATATCCTGACCTTTATTCCAACATTTACAATGTTTTTAATAGAAGAAGACTTTGATCACATATGGTTATGTTTATACAACAGAAATAACATTCACATTGCAGGTGATTTAATGTGTCAACTCCTGCTCACCACCCTCTAACAGTCAATTACTGCTGCACTTTCTTGATGATGGATTACAACCATTATTTATCGATGGAATTTAGATGTTTCATCTAATTCACCTTCATCAATATGATAAAAGGCATTGTTTTCCAATTTCTTTATTCACAAGTCCTTGATTTAACCAAGTCTACCCATATGATCATGTCCACCCTATCACTTGTTTACCATCTGTATCCAAGATACATGGAAAAATTGATGTATGATTCTAAAACAATATGAAAAAAGTTATAATATTACTCTTAAAAGAAAGAATGCTAATTGGATTACTACGGGCTTTCCAAACAATACACATAAGTCCACTCTTACTATACCACCTGGTTCTAATTGGAAGGATTTTTGGATCGGTAGTGATTTCTGGATTGTTAACTTTACTTGTTTTACAGGTAATTAGTCTAGGAATGTGCAAGGTCGGCCTTGATCTAGTTTAGAATAGATAGAGGTTTTTGTTTTTTCATGCATTTGTTTTTGTACTTTGGTATAAACTTATCATTTCAATAAAGATTTAGTGATACTACCGCACATTAAAAAAAATATATAATTATATTTCGGCCTGAAATTATATTAGGAGCAATTTCCCCTATAAAGGTCAATTTTTATACATCATGATATTTACTTTAAATAGAAAATAATAATCTAATTCAATATGTTAAATTTATTCCTAAAGCATTACAATTACTTGGGCCAATTTCGGAAACTAAGAGATCCGCAATGTTCTCAATTTTTCCCAATAAACGCTAAATTTAATAAATATATCATCAAATAAATTTGATTTGAATTTTAAAATAAACTCTAAAATGTTGTTTAATAATGAAGTTAAAGAAATCTATTATTCGATACATTTTTTATACATTAATTACTCTAATTTCAAAGTAATTTTGTTCGAAAATCTAATTCTTTTTTTTTTTAAGAAATAAATAATATATATATATAATTTTCTATTTAAGTAATTAATTATTTAAATTCTGCTGCATCTCTTCAATTGATAATGTACATTGATTATTTGCTTTATGCCAATATAACATAGAATGCAAAACTCCATAATAATGAACTACAGCCGCAGCTACAACAAAGAAATGAAAAAATTGATGGGATGATCCCTAAAAATTTTAAAAAAATAGATTATAAATATCTATTAATTATTTATGAAAAGTTACTCAAGCGGATATCTTAAAAGTTGATACTTACCCATATGTCGAATTTTCCAGGAAACAATCTTTCGGGTATTCTATTTAGAAGGTTATATTTTAATAAAAGATTTTACCATCTAAATATAGATAAATCTTATTACATACCTTGTACCATAAAGAAATGCGCCAAAAATATATAATAAACCAGTTATAGCCAACCATTTGAGGGAAATGACCTCATAACTCAAATGAAACTACAAAATAAATTCATAATGAGTGATTAGTTATACCAAATTACAAAGTTAATAAATCTATGATATATATCATAAAATTAATTATTCACCCCATATAATAAAGTAGCATGTATTATTGGAATAACTGAACTTCCACCTAATGCAAAAAACAACCCAGTTCTAAACCACCTAAATTCTGGTCTTCTAAATCTAAGAGCCACTGCTACAGAAATCTACATGATAAAGAATTATATTAGGAAATGAAAAAAAAGTCATATAAAAGAACAAACTAATTTGCCGAATAAACTTACTGTTGCACTTCCAAACACAAGCATCATTAAAAGATAAACAATTTTTAATATATTATTACAATAAAAACCTAAATATATATATATATATTATTATATTATTTAAGCGAAGGCAGTTGGGAAAAAAATATATTCGTAAGAACATACCATAATATATTATTGGACAAGTAGACCCACTAAAAAAATAATTGAATATTTAAAAAAAAAATAAAATAAAATAAAAAAATTTTCGATAAATATAACTTACATAATCAAGGCAACAATTCCAACATAATCACATCTATTCCAATTCGCGCAAACCTATGATGCATAAATTCGAATTATAATTTATGTATTGTGAATCTTTTAATAGATGATTTCAAAATACCTTTTCCGAGTGACAACACATGGTGTGAAATGACGAAGATAATCCAAGACATATCATTGCACCCGCCATAAAACAATAGAACGCAATGTAATCTGACTGCTTCAAAGTGTTATAGTCCATTAAGTAAAAGTAAGTAGCCAATGAAAGAACAGCAAAAAGGATCGCACCAACAAAGTGAGACCAAATGTTGACTTTAATCCAAAAGCAAGGAATAAAAAAAAAAACAGTTAGTCTATGCTTTAAGAGCACACAAATTCACAATCGATTATTAACTTACCACTTTCATTGTGAAGATAAAATAAAGATTGTATACATTTCAAATATGAAAATGTTGGACGACGATAACCTCGAATGATGTCATTGTTGTCTTGCAACCAATTAGGAAGTTCCCAGAAAGTGCAAGTTAAAGAACCTTTCGTAGTCCAAGTTGTTGGAAAGAATAAAGTCTCGTTCAGATCAAATTCTTCATCAGATTTTTCGGTATCGAGGTTGGTTATCAAAGAAACAACTTCTTCTTCAATAATTTTTGTTTCGGATAAAGGATGTTTTGCTGATGATAATTTACGTTGGGAAAGCGGCATTTTTTTTTTTTTTTTGTTAAATAATTAAGTCAAAGGAAAAGATAACAATTTTTTCTAAAAATAGAATAAAACAACCTATTTATTAAAAAAAAATTTTTTCTTTTTTATTAAAAAAAAAGATATTTTAGAAACTTACACTTCAAACTTGTCGATTCCTTTAATAGATTTTTTTTTTTTTAAAAAAAAAATTAATATATGCAATAAAAAGAAACTCTCCAATTAGACATTAAATGTCTGAAAATAAATGTTGCTTGCATACAACGCACAGAAATTTTTTTATTGCAAAAGTATACCTTCAAATGAAACTTTACCTTCAAAAATAGCAGCGACTCGGGGGTAATTAAAGAAAGAGAAAGTTTGGAATCGACAAGATATAACAGAAAACTCTATAAAGAGAATTCCTGTTTGCTATCAAACGAAAGGGGTAAAATTAAGATAAAATCAGTCATTTATTTCTTTATTTTATATTTGTTAATGCAGGTACATTTGATTGAATTGATAAGCTATGCCCAATTAATATGAACAATTGAATTTTCGGACGTATCCGAAAACTATCGATTGGTTTAAAATCAAATTTGTTGTCCTTAGTTGTCGATCATATGAACAAATATAGGTGGTCAAAAACTTCAATTTCCGAAACCTTTCTAAATTTGAGTTTGAAGGTTGAACACAGGCATGACCTATATTAAGTGGTTTAAACCATTATTGGATTGATTTCAATAATCTCGTATGAAATATGCGTTATAAAACTCCCTTAAAAAAAACGCGTGTTGAAATCATACACGCGTACTCTTGATAGAAAATCTGAATAATGATTCTTAATCTTTATTATCAATTCTATTAGTTTGTATAAAAAACATTTATTGAAGTTGAATTTAATACACATTATGGGTTGTTAATCCTCTAAAATGTTACTATTACATGATGCATAATTGCGTCAATCTCGACTATCAACTACTATTAATTAAGAAGCCAGTAGATTGAATACTACAATCTCTCAAATCTTACTTATATAATTATTTTACAGAAAATGTGATTATTGTTTTTTTAGATATCCAATTTGCGTTTAATATATTTTGAAATCTTTACTTTTATTATAATATTGAATTAATTATTTTTAGATAATTTTTTAATCCTCACAATTCAATAGATGACCATAGAGTGAAATTAAATGAAGAATATGACTTCTATAAAGATTCCCATAGCTTTGCATACTATAATGTTTATAGCATGTGCATTGATTTTTTCGTGGAAAAGTAGAGTACATCCAAAATCCAAATTTTTTTTAAACATTCAAAATATTAAATCCACATGTTAAATTCATTGGACTCTAAATCTCGAGCTTCTAGCTGAATTTGGTTAGTAAAATTTTTTTTTATGCACAGCCAATCCCTTAATAATAAATTCAAAAACAACTAATCACCAATTTAAAAGTTAAATTAAATTATCTTGGCCGAGGAAAGTAAACTTACGAGCGTAACCTGTTTGAGACATAGGGACGACCGTCGAACATTTGATTTTGTTATATCTTTTCATTTCACCAATGGTTCTATCTAATAATCTTGCAGGCGATTTTGAACTTGTAGTTGAACGCAGACATTTTACGTTATTACATAAGAATTAAGTGTTTGAACTAACAAGTAAATTTTGCATAAGAGCAATCTCCAACAAATATTTATATTATGGATAATGACAGAATAGAGGTTGGAACTGGATTTGTCTAGTTATTTTGATGATAACTCTCATGATATAGTAGCTTTAATATTGTAAATTTTTAATTTGGAATTATATACTTTCGAATTTTAGGACTAGTTTTATTTTATGAAAGAATAACTAAGCGCCGAGCTGTTGAATTAACAATAAAATTTTTTTGACAATCATGATTTTTATTGTATTACATTATTTTACAATAGCTTAATTTCGAATTTTGTGCAACAAAAAAATAAATTTATCGTATAAATGGAAATTTTGTTCATTATTTTTTTCTTAAATAAGAAATTGTCTGATATCTGCCCTAATCGTAAATAACATAAAAATAAACTTTTAATAATAATAGGATCAAAAATTGTCATACCGCTACATTTTCTAACTTATATTTAACAAATGCTGCGTTACTGAATAGGCGAAGATGTTTAATTATCATGTATTGTATCTTTTTATTTCAATGCTAGCATTTAGGATTGTTCGGATACTATAAATCCGGATATAATAGATCCGGATCGAAAAAATAAATTCGCTATGACAGAAACCATTAAAGCCACGAATCTTTTATAAAATGTGCAATCTTGGAAAGTTAGACTAATTCACTATCCATTGCTTTTTGCAGGTTGACCAATGAACAACACTTTCATATTTCGCTTGACTCCATTCATTTAAACCATCATACATCTCATTTTGTTACATTTGGCTGTTTTGATTTATATATAATCAAGTATGGACTATTAACAATTTACCTCATTGATTTCTCTCTACTGCTTTATTCATCATTGCCTCTGTCTCATAATCCCCTTAAATTTCTTATACAATTCGGTTTTTAGAGCTGTCACTCGAAGAACGATTTCAACTCAAAAAATAAGCCAATAAATTCTTGTCAAGTTATTGGAATCATCGATATTATTATCTTGTTTCCCTTTTTTAATCATATTTATCACAAATACACATATTTAACCTTGCAATCAATCTTGGATACAATTTATTTTTTTTTTCATATAAAATAAAAGATTTTTCAATCTCTTTCACTTTTATTTCGATAAATAATTTTTTTTTTTTAATTTTCACGGGTTATTTTAATTGCTAAACTTTACTGCGCCATTATTTGTTAGCAAATTTTATCCAATCATTAATTTCATTAATTGCAATACACATGTTACGCGTTTCTTTTTAATAGAAAAGTTAGTATAAATAAAATTATAATTTAAGGATAGATTTTAACTCATTGGCGAATGGTTTCCTTTGAGTTTCCTGTAGATAAACGTAGAAATTATCAATAAAAAGGAGTAAAATACAAATTTGTTAAATATTTACTGTAAACGTAAAACCTTTGCAATAATTGACATGGTTTTGTGAAAAGATTCCGAAAATTCTTCTATTTTTTTACATAATTGCTTTATTTCAAGTTGATGGATTGAACCTGCATAAGAAATTATATTATAATTTCAAGTTTCTAAAAAAAAAGAGACCTAATGAAAATAATTAATTCTACATACGCATCCGTTCGATATCTTTATCGAAGTCTCTTCTCGTGCGCATTTTTTGAGAATGATTATTTTCTAAAGTTTCAAGCAGTGTAGAAGCCGTCAACTGGTTCAAAAATTTATTAAAAAGATGGGAGTTTGTAATAAAACATTTATTCAATTATAAAACGAATCGTCTACTTGATATTTTTCAAATCCGAATCGAAGTTTTCTCAAGCAATTAAGTCTTTCATCGGCATATTCATCCATTTTATCCTTATAATCGCATGCGATTTTGTTGCTAATAATTACGAGGCGTGTGCTAAGGTCAAATATCATAAAAATTTGACGCCTTTACCAAATATCCATTATGCTCACATAAAATTATCCTCTTTCTCAAGATAGACCGAGAGAAATTCGGTAATGGTCATCTTGCTTGATTCAAATTGTTCATCCATTGATTTCGAAATTTGAATTTCCCGTTTCTTCATTGTTGCTATGAATTTGAGTCTGTAGATTTAGATATACAAAATCACTTTATGTTATTTAAAAAAATTGTTTTTTTTTTACCTGTAAGCTCTGACATAATCTCACGATGGTTTGAATTTCTAAATTAAAATGAAATCGAATATTGCTTTAATTGTCATCAGTAAAGGAAGCATTAAAAAATATTCAGTTACATAAGGTACTGAAAACATTACTTTTCTATAGTATTCATTTCATTTAAAATTTCAGTCTGATCACCGTTAGCTTGTTCTAGAGAAGCCTTTATACCATGCTTTTTAGATTCATGTTTCGTCGTTGCTTTGATATTATGTTTCATGGGAATTTGTAAACAATTCCGTGAGACTGAAATAAATAATTAACACGATTCTTTGTTCGTAAAGTTATATAAATGATGATATGTTACAAATGTGCAAACCTTTATTATTACAAAAAGACATAGGTGTTGGTAAATTTGCCTTTTCAACTCGCGATTTTCCTATTGTCCTTGAAAGATTGCTGATATTTTGTCTTTCTTTCAATTGATTGCGTGTAGTATTATGATCCTTTGTCCAATGCGATGTGGTTTTCATATCCGAAAAGTTTTTTTTTAACTATCATAAAAGTGGCGAAGTAGCGAAAGAACATTAAAACGATAGAACAAGAAAAAATGTACCGTTTATATATTTTGCACAATTAAATAAACTCAAACTTATGAATATACTTTTTTTTGATATCATATGATCAGTCCATACAGTCAAACTTTGAACGCATAGAAATCAAATTTAATGTATTAGTCACAAAGATCAAACTATATATGGTAAAAATATACTATCGAATTTTTTAATAAAATGCTATTTAATATTATGATTTAAATTATTTTCATATTGAAAAAAAATAAACTTTACACTTCCATAACTTTAAATTCTACTTTTTCGTGTTCCAAATTTTGCGAAAGTATTATAAATCTATGACTCTTTCATGTAAAATGAACATTATAACTATTACTTTATAGAAGAAAAAATTTTAACTTTTTTTTTAAAAAAATAAAACTCTATACTGACTTTTTTTAAAGGTATCCTATGTTCAGAATATACGGTATTAAAATGCTAAAACTATACATATCGTATTAACAAAAAAATTTAATAGTAAATTACCATATATAGTTTTGAACACAGTAATCCGCAATGTATTTGATAAAATTTTCTTATAAGTTTCAGGCATAGTTGACTTTCTTGAATTTCAATTAAAGTGGTGAGTAATTATTAAAATGAGAGTAACAACCGCTTGTAATATAATCATTTGTCGGTCAATCAGCATATAATCCTGTCGAGCATAGTATGGCAACGCTCTTTCAAAAACTAGCTGGCATAACATTGCCAATTGACAAATATGATTCTCATCTCAAATCTCAAGGTCAAGTAACTAATTTGAAGCTTGCAATGAAAAGCTATTGTTATGCTGGTGAAGCTTTGTGTACTCTCTGGAAGCATGATCCTATCTTTGGAAACCAGTTACTACACAATACACTGACCAGAAAAGCTCTCATTTGGCGATATCGTATTTGCTGGGCTTGAAAAAGAAATGTCGACGAATTGGCTATACCTTGGCAATGGTTAGAAATCACATCAAAATGTGTCAATATTCACTTTACATTAAGAAATGCAACGATTCTTCTTGTTTTTTGCCTAAATGTTATAAAGAGGCAGCTATTTTTCTTGCGGAAAATGATGGGTTTCTCCCACCTGTAATAAAAGGAAAAGATAGACATTTTTTAAATCTGCTTCATATATTAGAGTATTGTAACAAGCTCAAAATACCTGGATATGATGCTCATTATCCTTCCATTAACTCGAATATTTATAATCATCTTTGCTGCTCTAACTGCAATGCATACTTTTTGACGCTTTTCATTTTTGCCCTACATAAGTAAAACAAACATACAAGATAACGAGAATGACCAGCCAAGCAAAAAAAGTTACTTACCAATTCTATTGATGATTTTTCAGTTGTGTCTGCGCAAGACGTACAAGTTCTGATTCTAAATGATCACGAAGTACAATCAGAAGGTGAGTAAGAAGGAATTTATGAAGTGGCTTTCATTTTACTTTTATAATAGCAAGAATAAAAAGATTATTGTAAATATTGTAAAGATTAGGCAAGATTTAAGATTACATTAAATCAATGATGATTACTAAATTTTGTTGCAGTATAACAGTGATAAACCAGTTTCAAACTGGATAATTAGTTCAGCTAAATTTTTAGCAAGTATTTTGACCATATAATAAATCAAATTATAATTATTTAATAAATTTCTATAAGGATTAATTAGTGTTGAACTTCAGATTAATTAGTGTCGAACCTAAGATTAATCAGTGTTGAATCAGTGGTGATTAATTCGTTAATTCAATTTATTTAATTTATATAATTTAAATTTGAAATTGCTGAAAATTTCAATTGTGAAAACTGCGTAAATTTTGAAATTGCTAAAAAATTAGATCATTTATTTAACTTTTGCATAAAAATTAGATATTTTACCAACTCATTAAATATATTGAACACTGATATATTCAATACAATTTTATATAAGGAAAGTTTTATTGCATTTTTATTTCTGTAATTGTTTAATCTTTTACATTGATAATCTTTAATTTTTCTCAAATAACAATTTTACAATTTCAAAAATGCCTGTTACTATCGAATGGTCTGATAAAGAAATGCAACTTTTGATATACTTAAGAAGGGAAAGGAATAATGATTACTGGAGAAGGTTCAGAAGATTGAAGTTGACTTTTTGGAATAAGATTGTGGCATTGATACAAGTAAGGTTTATGACTGCGTTTAATAGGTTACAGGCAAAGAAAAATTTAAAGAGATGATCAGGAATTGTAAAGTAAGTAAAATATTAGTAAATGAAAAAATAATAATATTTATCTTAATTATATTTACAATAATTTTTTAATAATTTTAATTTTTTAGTTATTTGAAAAGTACGCTGATGAGAACGAGAAAGAAAGGTGAACTATCTTATTCACAAGATAAGTGTATTATATTAGATTTAAATAATGAATTATAAATTTTTTAACCAAAAATTTATAAATAAATTTCATTATTTTTATAAAAGTTTTTATGATATCCAGTCCAAATTTGTTAAAATTTTAAATTTTAAAAATAATTTTCAGTATTTTATATAATAAACTTAAAAAAACAAAAAACTACCTCAATATAGAATAGGTTTTTGAAACTAGATGAAATTTAAACTGAAATTTATTTTTAACTAAATAAATATTATTAATTTAAAAAATAAAAAATTACCTATTATTATTTGCCATTTTTTTTTTTTGCATTATATATAGAGTTGGTAAAAGTCCTAATAAGTCCTAATTGGTCTTTAAAAATTTAAAGATAATTTTAATTTATATACTATCAATTAAATTGTTAATAATTATTATACATAAATTTTTTAATTTAAAATAAAAAAATTCTTTAAAAATTAGAAATATACTTAGGATCTGATCCTAGAATCTAGGTCCTAAATAATATTTTAAAGATATTTTAAATTTTAAAAAGAAATTTAAACTTGTTTTAATAAGTAACTTTAATTAAAAAATTGATTATAATGATAATATTTAAAAATTTAATCTTTAAAACTAATAATTTTTTTAAAATTAATCAGGACCAATTAGGACTTTTACTAATCCTAACTATACAGTAATAGCTCTGGATCAACGTATTCTAGTTCAATAAATTTGGATTATTAAATAATCCTTAACTCAAATTAATTGTAACATTACTACATATAAGTTATGTAAATTATGCAATAAGTTCTTAAATTTTTCCTTCTTTATACTATAAATATGATTTTCAGGCTGAAATATGTTCAAATTTAGCATTAACTCATTTTTTATTTTTCCGGCAGTTTCCCCTTTCTATTGCAAAGGTCCTATATTCCAAATTGCATTGAAGATATTCCAGATATTCCTCTCTAAAATTTATTACTTCCTATCGACTTTTTTGTATATCCTCTCTAAACGGAAAAATTTTGTGAATTATTTACTTCGTTCATTATTAAAATTTTCATTAAAATTAATGCATGACTTGCCATAACGCAAATTGCATATATTCAAAGCAGTCAAAGTAATTAATCATATTACATTAATTTTAATTTTTCTTCTTAGTAATCTTCGAAACAAGTGTTAGAATCTTTATTTCGTTACTTGGAATAAAGATCAGTTGTACAAATGCACCCATAAATGTGGTCGCTCCAATCAAGCTTGTGAGTACAATCCAGTTAATTTGAATGGCATTACATCTACCTTGGATTTTAGCTCGACTTGTATCTTTTCTACCTTTTCTACCTTGGTTTCTAGTTTGTCCACCTTCTTTTTCATTTTGGTTTCTAGTTTGCCACCTTGGATTCTAATTTTGATAACCTGTTTTCAACCTTGTCCATTTTAAATTTCCATTTCGATTTTTGTTAATTTACTATAAATTGTTTTATTGTTTCTTAGAGAAACAAGATATGATAGAAATCTTGACGAAAAAGAGCGCGATTAAGATTTTGGTGCAAAGCAATATACAATAAAAAATATCTTGCGATATTCATATTGTTATGAAAATGATCCATAATACTTATATGATGAAAGTTATCATTAGGTCGGTTAGATTGAAGACCTATTGTAACTTACTGTTGTAACGGAAAATGGCATTCTTAATTCTTAAACTTGCTTGTATTTATAAGAATATTAATTGAATTTTGCAGCTTTTTAGAACTTAGGAGGCCAGTTAAGTATCACAATGATAGGCAGGTAAATTTTGATAAAGCTATTTATGTATTATGTTACAAAATCATTCTAAGAATGTAGTTTTGTTAATCGATATATTTAAATTCATTGACTAAAACAAGTGGTAATACAATACAAAGGGAATCATATCTTCAGTATTTAATGAAAGATTATTTAAAGACTATGAGATTGTAATTGAAAACTCCTAATATGGTTGTTTCATGTGTTGATTCAAGGCAGCATTGATTATCGAAATAATTTTGTTCGAAAGAGGTTTGCGCAGCTCAAAAATCGCGTCGCAAATAATTGGAATTAACATAAATTCAGCTTATATTTTGTTGACCTGTTAAAGTCAGGTGCCACACTAATTTATAGATTTACGAAACTGGTTTACAAAATAATCTTTAATAATTTTAAGCGATCATATGAAAATCACATGCAAGTCCCTGCCTGCAATATTTTCTCAATCAATTTTTTTTTGAACCATAACGACATCTGATTTATCAAAAGAGATCATCAGTAAAATGGTATGAGCACATCGATTCCTATTCTCTCACAACCATTAGGTACAGGTTATTTATCATATTGTTCATTGATTGTTTTTTTTGAAACGTTCAACGACTTTTTATAATAATAGTTGTAATAGTCTAAAAATACATCACCAAAACAACTTTCGTAATATAAAAATTTAATTAGTTTTATATAGAGGTAGGAACCGGCTAAGACGTTATCTTGTTAACCGGTTAAAGATTTTTTTTAACCGGTTGATATATTTAATCTTAACTCTGGCCAAAATTTAATTTTCGGGCAGAATTAAAATTTTTTGTGATTACAAAATTTCGCTAATTTTGCCCAAATTTATTGCTGGCCTGAGTTAAATTTAACCAATTAATTAACCGGTTAAGGATTTTTGGGCCGGTTCCAACCTCTAGCTTTATACTTTTAACCTAGAGTCCGTCCTAAGAAAGAGATTTTAGCTTACTCAATCAGAGAATTAGAGTTCCCAAGTCTTTACCTAAAACTTTACAAAAATCCGCTTTTACATTGTTGAAACTTAGGGATAATAACAATCAGATAAGTAAGTATTGGTAATTATGGTAAAGTTTCGACTGTTTCTAGTATGTGGGTATTAAAGAAAAAAACTATTAAAAAGTTACAAACAATTATTGGAGAAGGTATTAATAGAGTTTTATAAATTTAATTCTTGAATAACTTCTTTCACCTCGATCTATTGGCAAATTCACGTGGATGCATTCTTTATTCCAAAATCTTCTCGACATTGTTCACCGGATTTAATGTCGAAAAGTTCTATTAATTCATGTTATTTTTGAAATGTATATACAGTATGTTCAACATAAAAATAAAACTCTCGTATTATTCATGCCAATGAAATAATCTTAAAATAAATATATGCAGTGAAATGCTTATTGTACAATGCGCAAAAAAAAATCACATGCAATTTGCGGAAATCAAAAGTAAGTTGCGCTCCACAAATTCCGCAAATAGATTAATATATGACGTAATGACGTTTTTTTAGGTTAACTGTTAATTAGTCCGGAGCGTAATCGCTTAGATTACCCGCTCAAAAATTGAGCCGATACGTGATTGGTTCTTCCGTTACACGCCCCGGACTTAATAACCGGACCGAAGAAATGTAACAAATGTAACAATCACGTATCGACTCGATTTGGAAATCGCGCGGAAACATTATATAATCCTACGCTTCATTCCGGACAATAACAATAATATTTGATTTTATGTATTTATTAGTCACAAGCATTTAAACGGATTTATATGGTTACTTAAATGGCATTACTAACCTACATTCGAAGATCAATACTTTACAACAACTTGATTAATAAAGTTGTATAATCCTATTTTACAAATCGAAAAAGAATAAATTTTGACGGAAAAGAAGTTTTAAAACACATTGGAAACGAAAAGTAAATCTGCTTTTTTAACATAACCTCTATATAATCGTCAATGAGTGATTAATTCAGTATAGTAGACAATGAATCAGTAATACCATTAAGAATTACTGAGTTAAAAGATATGATATAGATTTATTTTGAGATGGATAATATGACGCACATATCATATTTGATTGATACGATATTATTTTCCTTGATCTGAGTGAGTTTAGGAATATTGTAACAAACAATTAATATATATCTACACATGTCCTAAATTCAAAACAATTTCTATACTTATCTTCCTGTCATATTTAACATGTTCTTTTCTGCTTTAGATAAATAAATAAACAAAACATCATATGGGATGGAAAACTCCTTTTATAAAAAAGGAAATTATATTGTAATTACCTTTTAGAGTAACTATATCAGTTCAATAAATGATGATTCTTGGAAAGCAATAAAATTTATTATTAAATTTAAACCTAAGAAATCACAACTTTCACTTTCCTTAACATATAACAAGTTAGCATCATATTATTTGTTGGTTGGAATCACCAAATCCGAACTTGGTTCATAGAAAAAAAAAGAGAGGAGCTTGCCAAAAAAATACTATCATATATCGTCTACTGATCAAATCTTTTTTTTTTTTTTTTGGCTGAACGCCAACTTAAGCAACTTTAAGCTAAATCCTGTTCCGTTGGTCCTGTTAATTGATTGATTTGGTATCACAAATTTTATTGGCTGATTATGTCATTACTAGAAAATTTCTTGTTTTTTTTGATTTATAATTTTACTTTCAAATATAGTAATATTTTGAATGATATAATGCTTTCCCTATTTTGGCTTTATGAGATGTATATGATTAATTGATTTATTTGATTTTTTGGATTATGCTTATGTTAAATCTTAACGTTAATTGGAAGTTTACATAATGATATAACAACACATCATATGACAACAATATTACTTAATTTTGATTTTTAATGCCTTATTTAGTTCCTAAGTTTCGAAAATAAACGAAGATTGCCAATTAATTAAAAAAAAACGCGTGATAAATCGTATTTTAAACGGTGGCCTTTTTTTTTTTTACCTAACGAGAGAATACAATATGAGTAAAGTTTAAAAACGTCAAATATTCCTTTTTTACATTTTGCCGTATAAAAAAGGCTGAGTAGATCTTATATAGGGATTTAACGGACGACTAGTATAAATTGCCTTTTCATGAATCGATGAATCATTATAAGAAACTGATTTTTCCAAATTTGCAAATTTGGCCTCCTCTGCAGCATCAAATTGAACTGACAATTCAGATGTGTTTGGATCATCACATATGGCTGAAACCCAATCTCCAAAACATTCGTAAAGTTTATATGCTGTTGGTCTATTTGATGGATTGGCGTCTAAACATTCGAACATTAATTTAGAATAAACAGGCGGAGTTCCTTCTACGACACTTGGTCTTAATCCAGAACAGATGTCTTGAACAAGTTGTAAATTATGGGGTCTATCATAATAAGGGCGTACACCAGCTGATAACATCCACATGATCATGCCAAAACTGTAAATATCAGATTCTTTTTTTGGAGTATTTCCATTAAATATCTCCGGAGCAATGAAAGGTATTACTCCATAAATTTGTTGTGATGGTTTATCAACCAAACCGTGTAAACCACTATCTGCTATTCTAGTATCTATTGAATCTGCTTCGTTTTCAACTAATATATTTCCTCCGTGTATATGTCCATGAACGAGATCAGCTTCATGAATAACGTTAAGACCAGCTGCTATGGACCATAGCATTTCTACTATATCTCTCCAGCAAAGAAGCCCAGTAGATTTTTCAAGATATTCATATAAATTCCCCTGTTCATAATATCTCATTACGAACATGTAACATGATGTTGGATCCTTGGTTATTCCAAAACAATCAGCCAAGGCGCCATTCTGTAAACATCGGTGATATCTATATAACTTTTTTTAGTAAAATATAAATAAAAAAAAAGGGGGTATGAATATTATGGACACGAGGATGATGTATGTATGATAAATATTACAATAGTGCGTTATTAAGTTATTAAACATCAAAAATTTTCACCCCACGTGACCTCTATAATTTTGTCCACCACGAAGTTAATTTCGGCCAAGTTCTATAATGTCGGCCAAAAATTACGTGGGGGGTTGAAATTATTGTAAATCATATAAATAGCAAACTTCTAATATCTTTTAGATCGATAACACTTACTTGGTTTTAAAATTTCTTGACTCATATTTTGTGAATTGTCTAATTTCTTTAGAATAACTTTAATTAGTCCGTTGCGAAAACATATTTTAGACTTTTCATCCAATTTTATTTTGGAGCTTCCATCCAAATTGCAGAGTAAATTGTGCTGAAAGCGCCTCGTTTGTGAAAATTTTCAACGAATTCGAATTGTTAGAAATCAATCCATTCTAAGCAGTCCGAATTCTCTTCTGCGTTTAGTTGAGTATGTCTAATAAATTCATTTATTATCGAATTTTCGCTTGCAAAATTTTCTTTTAACCTTGCAGGATCGCAATGTTTGGTATATGGCTATTGCAGATCAATTTAAATCGGGTACAGTTTAAAGTACTTTTTCGGAAAATGGAGTTCTTTTATATGAAGGACTTGGGATATAAATAAAAAATAATTTAATAAACTTTTAATCCATTTTATTTCATGTTCTTTTCTATAAAAATAATATTTAATCATTTACTAACAAATCCTAAATGTTAATAGATGTTCAACTATAATTGTTATCTATTGGATAGTTTTTTTGTCGATCGTACTTATTATAGAAATGATGATCAATATTTTCAACAAATTAGAAGAAAGTCTTCCTATGAATATGGTATATCGTTGTAAAGAACCCGAAGGACGGTTCTGAGAAAGATTCTTACAGCTATATATACAGAGGGTCTCCAAAAGTTTACGCGCACGATCGTAACCGTTGATGAATATCTCAAAATCTAGTGAACACGTTCTAATCTTATAACATATAAAAGTTTGAGCTAATTCGAATCACTAGTTGCTGAGACATATAAATTCTTTTTAATAATTTTTTATAATTTAAATAATATATTCAATTTCACAACATGTGATTGTTTTAATAATATATTAAATTTGGTTCAAATTGAATCACTGATATTCAACGGTGACGATCGTTAATTTATATTAATTATTAAAACAGTGATTCAAATAAGTTCAACTTTTGATATTACAAATATATTATTTATATATAATATATAAAAGTTTTGTTTTATAAATATTAAAAAGTGTGTGTAAACTTTTGGAGACCCTCTGTAAATTATTTATAAGTTTGTTTTTAATTTCATTTTAAAAAAAAAGTACATCGGATCCCCCAGCTTCAATATATCAAATATAATGTATGGGTGACATATTATGGATCATAGTAAATACATATATGTAATTTTAATGGCCTCTAACCGTGTACAAAAAATTATTTCTCATAATATTCTCTAATTGCTTTTGTAAAAAAAGAAGATACACGATTTCACAGAATGGTCAGTGGTGCGACAATTAGTGCTCCGAGCCGGTCGAATCGACCCGGGTCATTTGACCCGACTCGAGAAAAAATTCGAGTCGGGACTATCATTTTATGTCACGAGTCCTAATTTCTTAAAACCCGTCGGGTTAGGGTCTCGATTTTGCTTGACCCGGGTGACCCGAATGATCAGGTGATGCTATTAATTCGTAACTTTTAAAAATGAGTGAAACTATCTAATTCCGATAATACAGCTTCTATTGGAAGTCGAAAATAATTGCGAAGCAAACTTTTTGCCAAAGAGCTTTTGAAGAGTAACTTCTTCCACCTGAATATAAATTCAACAACACATCGAGAAGTTAGATGCTCGTATCATTTTAAATAGACTATATTATAGGCTGATATTTATTTTTTCAAAAATATTAGTGGACATAAAACGTGGCTCCGCAATATTGGTGATTCAAATACAACAAAATTATGTCGCTATTTAGAGCGCAATCATACAAATAGAAAAGAAATTATTAATAAACAACGAGTGTTCCTGTTGAATTATTTTAGACTTAAAGCCGATAAATTTGTACATGGTGTTTGAATTCCTGGAGCCAATAATATATTTAAAAAATCTAAATTTGAATTAATGTACAACCAAAGAACTTTAAAAATAAATACTTTCAAATTTAATACACATTTTTCAATATATACATAAATAAAAAAAATATTTTTACTTTCGGTATGAATATTACCTTAAAATTCGAGTCAAATATGAGTTAAACAATAATCGGGTCAGGTCTAACAACAATCAGGTCGAGTCGAATTTTGGTCCTGTAAATATTAACGGGTTCGAGTTCGAGTTTGCTTCAAACCCAACCCTAGGGATCGGAATCGAAACTGCGAAAATCGCCAAGATCGAAAATCGAAACTAAAATCGATTAAAATTTTCAAACTCAGTTAAAATC